GAGAACACAGGCTATGTGACAGTCAACCCACGCAGAGAACACAGGCTGTGTGACAGTCACCCGCACAGAGCACACAGGCTGTATGAGTCACCCACACAGAGAACACAGCCTGTGTGACAGAGTCACCCACACAGACAGAATACAACCTGTGTAGCAAAGTCTTTGCTGGATATGTGAGCCACTCAGTTTTCCTCAGTTTCAATCTATGACATAATCAAACAGTCTCTGGGGAGACTTCCTGGGATGATATTCAGTTTCTGGTATGGTGTGAAGAGGCTGGCCTCAGCAGCACAAGAGCTAGTGATCTTATTGTCTTATTTCATGGGTGCTGCTTGACAAGATCATCAAGTACAGGTGTGACGGCCAAAGGAAGAGTTAGATAAGCTCTGAAGAATAAGAGAGCTTGTCTTTTTGTCACCACAGGAAGTGACCTGCACCGTGATTTATGCCTGTAATCCCAGCATTTAGGCCCAGCATTTAGGTCTTCATAGTGAGTTCCAAGGCTAGCCTGAGTTACAGTGAGCAATTGTGAGAATTGTCTCCAAATCAACCAACCAACCAACCAACCAACCAACCAACCAACCAACCAACCAATGGATTTTTATGTATCAATCAGAACTCTTATTTGAAGAATAAAGAAAAAAATGCACTTCTCTTTAGCCAAAAAGAATTCATCTATTCTGATAAGAGTCAAGAGGATGTGAGCTTCAGACGTTGCCACACCCTCAATCGAGATGGTTTGAAACTCCTTCTTCCAGCTCCTTCTTTCACGTGGTGGCCGAAGTGGCTGAAGGAGTCATCAGACTCATAGTGCTCCCAGCAGAGAATAGCTTCTTCAGTGGGTCCGGATGGATAGATCTAGGTCACGTGTCACCTGGAAGGGCATGCCATGATGGTGAGGTGGTCTGTCCTGGCTCAAGGCGAATGCAACCCAGGATGGAAGAGCATCCCCTACATCCACTGCCATTTATTATTTCTTATGTTTTGGACTCTTTTGCATGGCTTCTTTGCTTTTTTCTTTTTGGTTTTTCAAGACAGGGTTTCTCTGTGTAACAGTCTTGGCTGTCCTGGAACTCATTTTGTAGACCAGGCTGGCTTCAAACTCACTGAGATCTGCTTGCCTCTGCCTCTCGAGTGCTGGGATAAAGGACATTTGCCACCACCAGCCAGCACTTTGTTTCTTTCATTCTCTGTCTCTCTTTCTAGATTTGAGGGTGGTGGCAGCAATGCCTGGGATTAACCCTGAGGCTTCAGAGGCTAGGCAACCACTTGAGCTCAGCTGTATGTTTTCCCACCTGTTGTATTTTTTTAAAAGACAATCTCACCCTTTAGCCCAGGCTGGCCTATAACTAGGTCTTGATTCTGGCACCCCAGCTTCCTGAATGACACACAGGCATCATCATTCCTGGGTCTTCTTCCACTCTCTATGATTGCTCTGTATTCCCAAGAGGTTCCCTCTTTGCTGTACATGCTTTCTCCTGATCACCTCGCCCACACCCACTCACTATCACAGTTCTACAGATGACAGCCACAGCCTTATCTCTGGTTTCTGTGCTCCTCAGAGAAAGCTTGCCATTCATCTCCCTCCGATGTCCTGCTAGTATTGTGAGCTCAGATGCCAAAAATGGAACCAGCTACCCCATGCCCAGTGTCATACCAGGACTAACACCCTCTTTCCATTTGCAAAGTTCTAGTCTCCAAGTAGTTTTTCATTATTTCTTCTGCATACAATTTCTCCCTCACACGAACTTTCTTATCATATCTCTTTGGTATTTATCATTTTTACTCCACTGTTATAGTTCTTGGTGTGTGTGGGATCCCCCCCCTCACTTGCCACAGTTGTTGAGGTCTCTTGATTGAAGGTGATGCTATCATTTATTATTTCTATTCTATTTCTTCCCTGGTTGTCATCTTCCAGCTTCTTCTACATTTCACTTCACTCATCAATATTCTTATCAGGCTTTTATATTTCAATAAATTTGTATATAATGAAGGAAATAATCAATGCAACGTACTGCAGTGGCTTGGCTGTCTTCTTGATCACTGGTGAAGAAAACGACAGTTCTGACAGTGTAAGTAAGAGTCTCTATTTACTACTTCAAACGCTGTCAGTCTGGGATTATCTTTACCAATGGTCAAGCATGGCAGTCATGCTGTTGTACTTCACAGTGGAGTCAGGTGCATTACCCAGGGCTTTCTAGAAAAACGGAATCAGTCGGATCTAAAGACGGCTAGGTCTTTACTTAACCTACCTCCTGATATCCATCAGAAAGAAACAGAGAAAGGCTGGAGGACGTGAAGGAGAGTCAGAGAAAGAGAGAGACTGAGAGAGAGGGAGATGGATGGAGGGAGAATGAAAGAGGAAGGAAGGTGGAGGGAGAGAGGGAGCGGGAAGGGAAAGGAGATTGCTAGGGATTTTGAGTTCTAGGGTCTACCATCTGCAAGCTGGATCGCTGTTGTAATTGAGTCTGAGGGCCTGAGTTGATGGTGGAAATTCCACACTGGGGCTCAGAGAAAAGAATATGCGGGGTGGGAAAAGGAATGTATTCTCCTTTCATTGACCTTTCGTTCTGGTCAAGCTTTCCACAATTTGGTTGATGCTCTCTCATCTCAGGGAGGGAGACTCCCCCACTGAGGCCACTGATTCCCATCTTCATCTCACCTTAAAACACCCTCACTGACATGCCCCGTGCATAATGGCCACCCAGTGGCCAGTGAAGTCCATTCAGAATTACCTGTTACAGGGGAAAGCATCAAGCTGGATGCTTTGGAGTCCCTCCAAACAGCTTGGAGCAGACAATGAACTAGGGTGGGAGGCATCTGTGGGTAGAAGCTTACCAGGAGGAAACACAAGTACAGGGAGTATTTTGATTAAACAACAGAATTATCCCCTGAAGGAAGGTGAGTGTAACAGGGACTATGGGTGGGGGAAAAGGGAGTTTGGCTGGAAAGTAATCAGCCATTAAGAGTGGGCTCATTCTCCATAAATAACTTCACAAGGTCTTTGGTAGAGAGGAGATGCAAGCTCTGTAACAATGGCTGTCAAGGTTGAGGCCTGAGGTCAGGCTAAAATTTAAACAAGAAAAGACTCTTTCTGAGTATCGGAAGTCTACTGCTTCAAGTCTTGCCACACGGCTTGGGATTCATTATAATAAGAGTAATTACTATAGTTATAATTTATTACACAGATTTCGGTTGTACAAAGTGCAAAGGGAGGAATCTGTAATCTTTCCTTTATGCTTTCCTTGCACTAGTCCCCAGCATTGAACAAAGACTTCTAGAAATGAAGCAGAGAAATTTGATACCGATGAGGAAGGAGCAGGGGCACAGAAACTGAGATGCATGAGACCATTTGCTGGATTTTGAGTATAATTCGGGGGTTTTGAGTGTAATGCCATCTAAGCCCCCTTTACCGTCATGACTACCTTTTCTTGGCTGTGTATATGAGGTGCTCCAACTCAGCTCACTGTGGCTAAGATGAGCAAACACCGACCCACTGATGTCAGTGTGTCTGCAGACTGGAGTTCCGGGTATCTGTCAGTAGCCCTGTGCTGGGAACCTAACCTGGGTCCTCCACAAGAGCATAGAGTGCTCTTGACTGCTGAGACATCTCTCCAGCCTCTACATCAACCTTGACATCCTCAAGCCCATCCATGAGTCCATGCTCAGGCCAACCTGCCATAGCAATATGAAGCACCTTAACCAACAGAAATTCATTTCATTTTCTAAGAGTTCTAGAGACAGAAAGCCCAAGGTCAGAGTGTTAGAACATGAGGTGGGGGCTTCTCTGTGGCTCGTAGATGGTCTCCTTCCAACTGTGCCCTCTCTAGTGTCCCTTCTCACAGGGCACCCATCCTCTTGGACGAGGGTCCTTCTTTCCTGAGTGGCCTCTTGTAAGCTTAATTATTTACATGGGACTATCTCCTTAAACTATCACATTGTGGATTAGGGATCTGACAAGAATGTTGAGGGATACAGTTCAGTTCATAGTACAAAGCTCAGATTTTAGTGGGCTTGGAGTATTGGCTGAAATGGACAAAAAACATTTCTCAGTTGAGTTTACTAAAGATGGGCTTCTCTTTGAGTGAATGGGGTTTCCCACACTTTCTAACTTTTATAGCATTAATTTATTGTTTAATCTGTTATCTTCTTAGCAATGCAAGTATCTAGAATATAGTTTACAGTGAAAATGCACTTGAAAGTAAATGATCCTTTAAAAATCATTTTTGCAGAGATTTCTTTTTCTAATGCAGATTCTTTGCCTCATTAAAAAGTTAATGAACTTCTAAATGGCTCAGCACTATCTCTAAAACTCTCCATAATATAGAAAATCTACTTATCACCATTTAGAATAATACAAATTCTAGTAAACAATAGTTTGTGCTGACATATTTTGAAACACGTTTTATATATTGGAACTATTATTGCTACATAGATGAATACATTTTTAAGCTATGAATCTGTAAGGAGTCAAGTATCTATCCACATGGAGGACTAGAAAGCTATGCTGATAGCCCCTCAAAATATCTATTTAAACAACCAAAAAGGTGGATTGAGACAATGATAGAGCCTGTGTTCAAATGCTACCAGAGTGCTTTTACTCATTTCATGTTTTAATACTACGGTACTCGAACTTTGTGTGTGTTAGGCAAGCCCCCTACCCTACCCCTGAGTTATATTCATAGCCCATCTCTGACTATTGTTTTTGAAGTCTCTCTCAACTTCTAAACCAATTTTTAATCTTACTTTTGTTTGTTTACATTAGGTAGACTGTTGACTAAATAATCCCTTTGCAGTTTGGTTTGTTTCATCCTCGTTTTAAAGAGGAATGGTCTGATTCGCCATTGTGGCGGTCCATTCATTTCTATAGTGGGCTCTGGCGTCGAATCAGTGACTCTACCCGGATGGGATATAGCATGTCTCCTTAGGTTCTAAGGGTTAGTGTTCACCCATGTGTGCTGACTACATCACTGATGGTGCTTCTGTGTTTCCTGTTTCAGTGTTTGTCCGCAGAAGAAATCTTTTCTCTTCATGGCTTCTCAAATGCTACCCAGATAACCAGCTCGAACTTCTCTGCTATCTGCCCTGCGATCTTACAGCAGCTGAACTTTCATCCCTGCGAGGATCAGCCGAAGCACAGCGCAAAGCCGAGTATTTCCGAAGGTACCCAGAAGCGCTTTCTCACTCCCTCAAAAAGTCTGAGAGGCAGCGGGAGATAAGGCTCACACGCATCCTTTTCTCCTTTATTGCTTTTAATTACTTTGTAAAATAAGATTCAGCGAATATTTAGGTAAAAATAATGGGAACTCATATAAGCTTTGTAAGCAACACTTCTGTTTGTGGGATGAAGACTATCCTTAGTATACTTTAAGACTCCTACATCCAGTTATTTCTTTTTACTCTTTTATTTAGTTTTTATTATATATATCCACTGAACACTGTGCTCTGTTACATATTGACTTTTTTATACAAGTACATATTGTACATTGACCACATTTTCTCTCCCTTACCCCCTTCCCACATTTCCCTAAAAATAGTCCTCATTGTTCCCCTAGAACAATAGTTCTCAACCTTCCTAATGCTGCAACCCTTTAATACAGTTCCTCATGTTGTGGTGACCCCCAACCATGAAATTATTTCATTGCCATTTCATAACTGTAATTTTGCTACTGGTATGAATGGTAATGACAATATGTGACATGCAGGATATCTGATATACAACTATGATGGGCTTGAGACCCACAGGTCGAGAACCACTGCTCTAGAGAGTTTTATTTCTATATTCATGCCATCAGCAGAGTTTTATTGTTTATATGCAGCCACTTCTTGATTTTAAACCATGTGCTGCGATACCAGGTTGTGTATTATTTGGCTTAATTGATTAGTCAAGTTTCCATTACCTTTTGACTAACATGTTATTTTGAAAGTTGTCAATTTGCAGTTGTGATAGGAGGTGTAGCGAAACTAATGTGCTTCTAGATGAACACTTAAAGCATGAAGTTACTACCTTTTAACATCTGTAGATGTTAGAGGATGTCAGAATTACAAATGTTCCCTAGATTATGTTTACATTTCTATAAACCTTTTACATTTGATATTTTATACTTTACAATCAAAAATACATGCAACAGAAATTTTAATATACTATTATTTATTTCTAGTAAAGGCACAGACTTCAAAGATCAACTCCATAATTTTCTGGCCATTTTGGGAACATGCTTTGACCTCTTTATACCTCATCTAGTCCCTTTCTCACAGTGTTGCAATAAGGATTAAATAACAAGATTCATAAAGTACCCAGAACAATATTGGTTTTAGTGTTGCATAAAGCCCAGGGTTTCAGGAAGCAACACTAGCAAAGGAAAGCTACTGGATTCAAAAGTGTTTCTGAAACTGGGTGTGGTGGCTCAGGCCTGTAATCCTGACACTTCAGAGTCTGAGGCAGGAAGAGCATGGTGAGTTCAAGGCCAGTCTGGGACACAGAGGACGATTGTGCCAGAGAACCAGAGTGATAGTGAGAGAGAAAATGAGGGAGAGAGAGAGACACACACAGAGAGACAGACAGAGACAGACAGAGAGAGAGACAGAGACAGAGAGAGAGAGAGAGAGAGAGAGAGAGAGAGAGAGAGAGAGAGAGAGAGAGAGAGAGAGAGAGAGATTTTTGAATCTCCGCTGTCCAGGTTACTCTGTCAGGTGGTGGGAGCCCGGAGGTAAGAAGACGAGAAGAGGAAGCAGGAAGGGAAGGAGAATTCTAGGGTCAACACCGCAAAGTCATAGAGCAGAAAAGTCAACAGTTCTCAGTTACAAGATCAGAAAAGCACCAAATATTTGGACAGAGAATCTAACAAAGGGAGTAGAGTACTTGACTCTGCCAATCTGTTTAGTTTGGCAATGCATTGTCATCTGATGTGATACTTAACAGTTTTATTTTAGTGCAGTTATGCGGTCTTGAGCAATTATTCAGTGTCTTTCTGCCTGAGTCCCTTCATTTGTAAGGTGGGTGCAATTATAAGTCCTTTATTGTAGAATTGTGGGTAGCACCAAAATGAACCATTGAGTGTTAGGATTGGAACAGTGCTTGGTACAGCTTGAGAGGATTGCGTCTTTGATCTTTCTGTGTGTGCGCATGTGTGTGTCTGGGTGTATGCATGAAGACTACACACATGCATGGGTTGGAGTGCTCTTGTGTGTGCATTTGGGGGTCAGCTGTCCTGCTCTATTGTTCTTAATTTACTCATTTGAGTCAGGGGCTCTCACTGAGCCTAGAGTTAGGCTGATGGCCATCAAGCCCCAGCAATTCTCTTGTTTTGTTTCTTGAAACACTGGTATTATAGGTGTGTGTAGACACAAAGTTTGATATGGGTACTGGGGAAGTGAAATCAGATCTTCATGGTGTGCAGCAAATGCTCTTATCTACAGATCTGTCCCCAGCTTCTTACACAAGTGTCCATAGGTCCAAGGTACTCCCTGGCCCTTATGTAATCTTATGTCTCATAAGGATATTAAAAATAACCAAATGTATCAGATTTTGAATATAACTTTTCACTGCTTGTGAGTTGAATTCAAGGTCATTCAAGGGATGAAAAAAATTAAAATAATTTTTGATTCAAAGGGGGCTATCATACAAAAACGTTTGAACATGTTTATATTGACATTTTGGTAGGAAGATAAAATGGTCTCATTTTTCAGAGATCTTACATTTTGTCATTTTTGGGAGTTGTCTTTCTTTTGCCTTATAAAGCACATGGTACATGCAGTAAACTGATGATAAATAATCTTTAGGAGAGGAATTAATCTGTCTCAGCAGTAACTTAAAGGTCTGAAATTGCCTCACTTTTTGATGAGTTCCCTATTTAATATGAATAAGACGTAGGAATCATAGAATCTTACTTAGAGCATCCTTGAAGAGCATCCTGTCCAACACAACCAGTGGTGGAGCTGGGAGCTAGTCGGGGAGAATTGATGCAGCCCAGTGAGTGTCTTTAGGACTGCAGGAACACTCCTTTTCTCCGCTGACTTAGAGAAGAAGAAAACAGGAAAAGAAAGATCTCAACACCTGGTCATGTTGTGTTGTAAGCATGTCACACATACACGCACATACCCTCCACACATATCACACACATACACCACACACACATACCACATAGACCACACACACCAAACATACCACACAGGCAAACACACATACATCATGCACACAGATACTCATACACACCACACATACAACACACACACACACATACTCACACATACACCACATAGACCACAGCCATCACACTCAGCATACATGCACACACACCATACATACCACATACACACCATACCACACACACACACACACACACACCACACATACACACACACACCACACACATCACGAGACAGTTCAGGAAAAAAGGGGTGGAGCTAATTGTTTCCTGATCCAGGACACCTCCACCTAGGTTTAAAGTTGTAATGAACAGTTTCCTCTGGCGTGTGGCTGGGTTGGGTGGAGGCAAAACCCACCAAGTCTTTGTCTCGGAGAGGGCGAAGGATTGTGTAGGCGGTCATCCTAAATGTTTAAGAGAGAAGCATATCAGTCTATCTAGAACCTCTTTTCTGTCTGTCTGTCTGTCTGTCTGTCTAGTGGGGATCTGTCTGACTGCTGGCCCCTCAAAGCAGTTTCCCATAGGTGCAACACATGAGGTAGAAGGAGAGCCCAAGGCTTTTAACTCTAAGCCTTTTCTTTTCACTTCATAACAGTGTACTAAACAAAGTAGTCTTCTTAGTATTTTTTCTTAAATAACTATAAACAACACATATTGAAGGCTTGTTATAGTCTAGGAACAATGTTATTTATTTAACCGTTATAAAAACTGTGCCTGTAGTATGTATGTATGTATGTATGTATGCATGTATGTATGTATGCATGCATGTGATCCATGTACATGTCTGGCACCATTGGAAGCCAGAGAAAGACATTGGATGCCCTGAAACTGAGTTACAGATGGATGAGAGCCACCATGTGGGTTCTGTGAACCAGCCCAGCATCCTTCACAAGAACAGCAAGTGCTCTTCATTGTTGATCTGTCTCTCCAGCTCCATTCAATCTTTCCCTCATATTTATGTTTAACATATTAAAAAAGTCTGTGTGTCCTTGTGTGTCTGCCTTTCTGGATATGAACCACAATGGCCAGAAGAGGGCAATAGATTTCCCCAGTGTGGGTGCTGGCAATTGGGCACTTGTCCTCTGCAAGAACAGTAATTGCTTTTAACCTATGAGTCACCTCTCCAGCCCCTAAATTCAGAGTTCTATCTGAGTCACACAGGGGAACTCTGTATGCTCTTCCTCAGCTGTGTGGTGAAGGTAGTGGATCTACCTTGCAAGGCTTTATGGATTCAACGGCGTACAAGACTTCGATGTCTTTGCGCAGTGCCTGGCTCATGGCAGATGCTTGCAGTGCACTGGGTATTACTTGTGAACTCACCGGGCCAGCGAGAACAGAGCACACGTACTTACAAGCGTTTTCTTGTGGGTGCGGAGGCAGCCTTCTCATTTTCCACACAGTTCTCTGTGCCACGTGTGACTTGGCTCCGGCGGCCGTGGTACATCTCAGGCCGCACTGCTTGCTACCATGCATTATCCTGGGCTGTGTCACTTCCATTTCCATCCAGCTCTTAAGCCAACCCTCTATAGTCAAGATGGTGGGCAGCACATACAGCTAACTATCAAACTAGGATAGCGTTTGCTCATTGCTTTCCAAGTAACATTTACTGAGTACCTCTTTGGCATCTCAGTGAAGGATGAACCACCTCTCTCTGTTGCCAGCATCACTCATGTCTTCATCTGGACAGCATAAGGTGGGTTTGCGTAATGCAGCATAGGGCAACTTAAATCACAAGATCGCTTTCCTATTTCCTTCCTTTCTGTAGCCCAGGCTAGACTTGAAACTTGCAATGTAGATGAAGATGACCTTGAAATAATGATCCTCCTAATTCTACCTCCAAAGTGCTGGGATTACAGGCATGCACCACCATGCTTAGGTTATGAGATGCTGGGGACTGGACTCAGGACCTCTTGCATGATGAACAAGTATTGTACCAACTGACCTATATCCCCAACCCCTACAAACATGATTTCTACTAATTTTCAGTCTATTGTATGTATGTTCTCAATGTTCTGTATAAATTCAAGGAGAATTTTAGCTTTGAGGAAGGTATTTATTAAAGCCTTTAAAGAAGAAATGTTGCAAGGTTAATGTGCTGTAATGCAGTTGACTCCTTGACTGTCACTAATTTTATTCTTTTCCCCCTTTCCCATAGTCTGGAGCTATGGAATCCTGTCGGTGACAATTATTAACTTGGCATCTCTCTTGGGATTGGTTTTGACCCCGTTGATAAAGAAGTCTTACTTCCCCAAGATTTTGACTTATTTTGTGGGATTGGCTATTGGGACTCTTTTCTCAAATGCCATTTTCCAGCTTATTCCAGAGGTAAGGGGGTAGGCTATGTGTTTCTGTGAACAGTTGTTTATTTTATACATTTTAGCACTGTATGCATTTTCAGCCTTCATAATCTTTGCAGCATCTTATGATTGGTTTGTAAGGCTTTGGGTAGAGAAAGCAGAACCCCAGCAAGTCTCAAAGATTGTCTTGATTGTCAAGGAAAGTTAGAATCAGAGACAAATTACTGTTCTGGGAGGGCAGTCGTCAGGACATGCTTAGATAAGGTTAAAGACCCTCCGAGGACTCCGAGTACTCTGAGTTCCAGGATAGCCAGGGCTTCATAGAGAAGTCTCAAAAAAACGAGAAAAACCATAACAATTTAATTTTTTCCTTTGGTTAAAGGGTATTACCGAATAATGACTATAGTACTTTTTTCACTTAATACATAATATGCATGTTTTATTTAATATCTCTGTTATGGCCATAGTAGAAAAAGAAATAAAGGAAGGAAAATAAAGAGAACATTGAAGAGAACAAGTTACAAAGACCAGTGAGAGAAATCATATATATGGGGACCATATCTCCCACATATTCTGCATATGTAAAGAGGGAGAGGCTAGCCCCAAATATAGCAAAAGTATAATTCAGGAATGCCCCTCCTGTAGTTACACAATAACAAAAGCTTCTAGTTTTTCATTTGGAAACAAAAACAAGGCATAGGGTTAGAGTTAGGGTTAGGGTTATGGATTTTATTAATATTTGTTTAGAAAGAGCCTAAGAGAAATATCAAAACCCTCAAATATAAAGAAGAAAGTTGAAAATCTAAAGAGATTAAGTGACTCTAGGGCAGCCATAAAATTGGCTAGTTACCAATGAGAATTGCAATGCACATTTTTCATGAGAATGCGTTTGCACGATATGTTTAGCACAATGCAGTGCTCCATGTATATATGTATTTAGTGTCTTGTCTGATTTATGAATCAGTCAAGGCAAATGTTGCTGTGGATGGTCCAGAGAGGAACCTGTAAGGTCTGGTGGTTTAGTTTCCAGGGAAACTTCTAGTAGGAAGGTTTTAATGCGTTGCATGTGGTCTGGTTACTCATGTTTCAGAGGATTTGTTTGAGGGTGGACTTACAACTTTAGAGAAAATTGTATACTAAGAAACTAAAGTATTGTTTTCTAGAAATCAATTAAATTAATTGGTTTTATCTGAATTGCCCTGTACCCCCTTCTTAGGCATTTGGATTTAATCCCAAAATTGACAATTATGTTGAGAAGGCGGTTGCTGTGTTTGGTGGATTTTACATGCTTTTCTTTGTTGAAAGAACACTTAAGATGGTACTGAAAACATATGGACAGGTAAATGAACTTAATTGAAGACATTTGATATCTTGCTTTCCCAGGATCCCTAACAAAGGCAAGAAATGTGAATTATATGAACAGTCTAACTCTTTTTTTTCATTATATTTTTTATTTAAATTAGAAACATGCTTACCTCACATGTCAATCCCAGCTCCCTCTCCCACCCCTCCTCCCTTGCCCCTCTACCAGCCCCCACCCAATCCCCACACTATTCCCCAGGGAGGATGAGGCCCTCCATGGGGGATCTCCAGAGTCGAACAGTCTAACTCTTATACTAGCAAATATGAAAAGAGTAAAAAAAAAATCAGTATATTGACAGGTGTAAGACAAACACTTGACTATAGAATTTGGAACTACTAACCTCAATTTAATGCAAAATAATAGATATGAATAATTTGTTTCCCCTTTATTTTTCTCTCCTCTCTTTTTTAAATTTAAATTATAAACAATCTTGTTTTACATGTCAATCCCAGTTCCCTCTCCCTCCCCTCTTCCCCTGTCCCCCACTGACTCCCTATCCCATCCCCTTTCTGCTCCCCAGGGAAGGTGAGGCCTTCCTTAGGGGATCTTCAAAGTCTGTCATATCATTTGGAGCAGGGCCTAGGACCTCCCCTGTGTGTCTAGGCTGAGAGAGTATCTCTCTATGTGGAATGGGCTCCCAAAGACCACTCATACACTAGGGATAAATATTGTTGTATCCCCTTTATATTCATCAAATAAGAACACATATATTCCCTAACACAGAGAAGGTAGAAAACAACCACAGACTCTAGTACATAGGAATCTGTTTAAAGAAGAAATATTAGCACTTTAGAGAGATTGCATTGTAGAGTAGATATGAAACACGATGGACCATTTTCTTACCTGCATGGTCATCTTCTTTCTTCTTACAACCTTCTTATTTTATTCTCATGTAGAATGACCATACCCACTTCAGCAATAATGACTTTGGTTCTAAAGAAAAAGCCCATCAACCCAAAACGTTACCACTACCTGCAATCAATGGTGTGACATGTTATGCCAACCCTGCTGTCACAGAGCCTAATGGACACATCCACTTTGACACTGTCAGTGTAGTGTCCCTCCAGGTATGTTACACAGATTGTGTTTCTCTTCTGGGTACTTTCCACTATAACGGCGGTGGTGGTGGTGGTGGGAGTGGGTAGAGCCGAGTCAGTATTTCACACATCCATACGGGTTAGACACGCCTACCGTCACGGGATGAGCCTGCACTCCCTCTGCTCTCCTGGATGTTTAATTACTCACATTGAAGGAACCATGGACTCTCCGCCTAGGGATTAATGCGTTGTTCTCTAAGGCTGTTTAAGCACACAAGATCCTTTCAGTTAGACTCACACAATCCCTCTGGTAAAATTAACTCAGGACATTTCCGCCACTTCAGTTCATTCATGACCCCAATCCAAAGGGCCCGCTGAGTGACTCTGAAATTACAGGAAGATTTGAAGGTTTTGAAAGCTGTGTTCACTAAATGACTTAGAGTTTATATTTGCACTGACTGAAGAATGTTAATGACTACCGTTTTTTAAAGCAAGCATTACATGCCAGGTAATATGCTAGGTAACTGTTGATTTTTACCTCATCTGTTTTTCATAACTTCTGAAAGTAGAGGTTTTTGTAGCAACTGCTGAAAGTAGAGGTTACTCTCTGTATTTTGGCCATTTTTATTTCAAGTGATAGAAATCAAACTCAAATTGTCTGCGACCCAAGGATTCATTATTGGAAAGAAATGTGTGTCTTGTGTGGGAAATCCAGGCTTCTGGAACAGCAAGAACCTTGGAACCATCAGGCCATCAGCAACTCTTCTCCTCAGCATCACTTTTTCCTCTCACCCTGCACTGTCTCCACAAGTGGGAGACATAGCCCTTGCCAGCTCCTGAGACTTACATTTTATCATTTCAGCATTTAGGATGAGTCCGACCTTTTATTCTTAAACCCCCAATTCCTTGCAAGCACTGCCTTGGCCTACTTCCTGGTAGGTAGTCACTTTAGGCTAAACTAAATGTCTAGATGGCCAGGCTCCTTGTTGGGTTTTAAAGGAACACCAGCGCTAAACTAACAAGAAGTTATTTATTGTGGTACAACAAATGGTACTGTTAACTAAGATTTTCCAAGAATATAGAAATATTTAAGTAGAAAATTTTAGATCATACTTACAGTTAACATTTTATTGAGTGCCCCAGGTCTGGGCCTTTAACAGTAGACTAATTATCTTACCATCCCCATAAACTAGAGGACAAATACTGTTTTAATTAGGATTCTAGGTCTTGGAGATGCTAACCAACCCAATATAGAATACAGATGGAGTAGACCGATAATTAACCAGGGGTCCTGGGAGGACAGTCCCACTGGTGTGCACTGTAATTATCATCTGGCAGATGGAGAGGGTAAATCTTCAGTGTGACTCACCCAGTAAGTGCAGATCTACAAGCCACGAAGTCAAGCAGAAGAGAAGAGTGAGCAACTGAGATGAGAAGGGAAAACAACCAAGAAAAAGAAATAAAAACCGGAAAAGAAATATTTGAAAGAGGTTGTTAAGAAAAAAATCAGGAATGAAAACATGGTTGGTCATATTCTTCACATACCCGATGATAGGAAATTCTCAAGTATGTTTGAAGCAGCTTTGTGTTACTATTAAACTAACAGGAAATTATCTTAGGTAGTGGAATGAATGATGATTTTAATTAAGATTTACCAGAGAACATGCTAATGTCCAAATAGGTAACTTCTTGTAATAGTTAAAGTGAATGTTTTTAAGTGCTCCGAGTCTCCATTAGAACAGTCAATGGCTTACCTTATTCGATCCCCATAAACTAGGGTTAAGCAGAGTTATAGTTAGGATACTGACTTAGAGATGTTACTCAAGCCAAGATGTTATTCAGCTTCTGACACTTGAAGCTCGGGTTGCACTGGGCTATTTGATGCTAGATTCTAAAGTGTTTGGGGGCCTCTTCCTTCTCTACAATGCTAGAACCAAGATGAAAACATTAACTCTTCATTTAGCACATACTTTACTATGAGGAGAGAGATGAATTAGCTCAAGAATATTGTTTTCTGAGCGCATGATCATGCAGGGCACAATAAAGGGGACACAGAAAATAGTGAAAACCTTGCTTCCACCGTGTGTCTAAATTCTAGCTGCTTTATTCAGGCTTTGGCAAGTAATGAATCCTTGTGAAATCATGGCTGGACTTTGATGAAAATTCCAGAAGAACCAGTCAACTGTGCTGCCAACTTAAACACCGATTAATGACTCTTTTAAGCCAGACATGGAGACATAGGTCTATAATCTCAACTCTTAAGAGGCTTAGGTAGGAAAATTGCAAGGTCAAGGCCAGTCTGGACTCCAGCGAGTTCAAGGTCAGTTTGGTTAACTTTGTGAAATCTCATCTCAAAACAAAAAAATGAAGCAAGAGGCCTATGGAGGTACGTCAGCGCTGCAGTGCCTTATCATTCTGGGCAGGCTGAGCTTAATCCTCAGCACCGCAAAGCCCACCAAGCCCCACGAAAACCTTTTTAGGTATCAGCCGGCAGAGGTGACACGCTGCCGAGAAATTTGAAGTCTGATTTGAATTCTTACCCTGAGGACGATTTTTCTGTGTCCCCTGGAATGAGCCAGACCAGGTCAGGCAGGGCCACCCTTCCATGCAGCAGTAGGGAGACCCTGGTCCAGACTTGAGCAGGGTTTCTATCGGAATCTTCTAGTTCTGTCAAATGAAGCATGGATAATAAAGAATTTTAAAACTATTTTTAAAGGGCTAGTGACCACATTAACAGAGAACAAGCTGTGGGAGTTGATTCTCTTCTTCCACCATGTAGGTTCTTTTGGTAGAGTTTTTTTTTTATAGGGATACCTGGACAGCTCTGTCCCACCAGCCACTCGCAAATAACCAGACAGATACTTATTATTAATTATAAATGCTTGACTGATAGCTTAGGCTTGTTACTAACTAGCTCTTACATTTCTTTTTTATTTTATGTATGTCTTTAATTTAAATTAGAAACATGCATGCTTCAAATGTCAATCCCGGCTCCCCCCTTCTCCCTCCACCAGCCCCACCCCACCCCCCACCCCCAGCCCAATCCCCACATCATTCTCCAGGGAGGGTAAGGCCCTCCTTGGGGGGATATCCAGAGTCTGTCATTTCATCCAGGGCAGGACCTATGCCCTTCCCCATGTGTCCAGGCTGAGAGAGCATCCCTCCATGTGGAATGGGCTCCCAAAGTTCATTTGTATGCCATAGTGAACATTAGTCTACTACCCAAAAACCCAGAGACTTCTGAGGCCTCCTCACTGACACTACATTCATGGAGTCTGGATCAGTCCCCTGTTGGCCTCTTAGTCTGGGGTTCAAGAGCGACCTCTTGTCCAGTCAGCTGTCTTTGTGGGTTTCACCAGCATGGTCTTGACCGCCTTGCTCATCATTCCTCCATCTCTGTTCCTGGGTTCCAGGGGGGGTCAGTTCAGTGTTTAGTTGTGAGTATCGTCTCTGCTTCCATCATTCACAGGATGAAGGTTCTAGGATGTCACATAAGGTAGTCACCAACCTTATCATCAGGTGGGGCTATTAATGTAGTCTCTCCTCTATTACTTAGTTTTCCAGTTGGTGTTATCCTTGTACATCTTTGGGAATCTCACTATTGTCAGCTCTCTCCTCAAAGCTATAATGACTCCAACTATTATGGTATCTCTCATCCTGGTCTCCTCTATTCTTACCCCGACTCAACCTTCCTGCTCATCCATGTCTTCTTCTACCCTCCTCTTATCCTTCTCTCTTTTTCCTGGTTCCCTCTCTTTTCCCCCCATTTCTGCTCAGGAGATCTTGCCTCTTTCCACTTCTCTGTTTCCCAGACTCACTGGCTCTGGGATTGTAGGCTGAGACTCCCCTGATCCATGTCTAAAATCCATATATGAGTGAGTACATGCCATGTTTGCCTTTTTGTAACTGGGTTATCTCACTCAGAATGGTTTCTTCTAGTACCATTTATTTGCCTGCAAATTTCAAGATTCAGTTGTTTTTTTCCGCTGAGTAGTACTCCATTGTGTAAATGCACCACATTTTCTCTATCTACTCTTCAGTTGTGGGGCATCTAGGTTGCTTCCAGGATCTAGCTATTACAAATAATGCTGCTATGAACATAGTGGAACAGACATCCTTGTTGTATGAATGTGCATCTTTTGGGTATACGCCTAAGAGTAGAATTGCTGGGTCGTGTGGTAGACTGATTCCCATTTTCCCGAGGAATCTCCATACTGATTTCCAAAGTGTACAAGTTTGCACTCCCACCAGCAATGGACCGAGTGTTCCCCTTTCTCCAATCCTTTCCAGTATAAGCTGTCATTGGTGTTTTTGATTTTAGACATTCTGACAGGAGTAAGATGATATCTCAGGGTTGTTTTGATTTGCATTTCCATAATGGCTAAGGATGTTGAGCACTTTCTCAAGTGTCTCTCAGTCATTTTAGTCTCCTCTATTGAGAAATCTCTATTTAATTCAGTCCCCCACTTTTTAATTGGGCCCTTTGGTGTTTTAGAGAATAGCTTCTTGAGTTCTTTGTAAATTTTGAAGATCAGCCCTCTATCAGATGTGGGGTTAGTTAGTGAATATCTTTTCCCAATCTGTAGGTTGCCTTTTTGTCTTGCTATGTCCTTTGCCTTACAGAAGCTACTCAGTTTCAGGAGGTCCCATTTATTAATTGCCGATCTCAGTGTTTGTACTACTGGTGTTACATTCAGGAAGGAGTCTCCTGTACCAATTCATTCAAGGGTACCTCCCACTTTCTCTTCTAAGAGGTTCAGGGTGGCTGGATTTATGTTGAGATCTTTGATCCATTTGGACTTAAGTTTTGTGCATGGCAATAGATATGGATCTATCTACAGTCTTTTACATGCCAGCATCCATTTATGCCAGCACCATTTGTTGAAGATGCTATCCTTTCCCATTGTATAAGTTTAGCTTCTTTGTTGAAAACCAGCTGTTCATAGCTTTGTGGATTATTCTCAGAGTGTTCAATTTGATTCCACTTGTCTACCTGTCTATTTTTGTGCCAATACCAAGCTGTTTTCAGA